TATTACTGCAAACTGAACCAACATTTTATTTAAGTTTTATACCATTAGAGATCTAGTTGCTTTAAAGCTGTTTTAAGCTTGACTAAGCTTTCTACTTAATTTTGCAAAAGCAGCAGCCAAATACAGCAACAACAACAGCAACTAAAGCTGCAAAGTGTGTCCATTTACCGAAGCTGATCCCAAAGAAGAAAAAAATATATATAAACCTGAGATTTTTATAGTCGACTTTATTTTTGTTTTATTTGTTGCTGTTGTTGCCGTCCGTCGTTAGCTGCAGAGAGTTGAGCATCAGTTGCGGCAGCTGCTCTTCGAGTCGTTGGGGCAATATTTTCTTTTATAGACTTTACGTTTTGTATCCCAGTTGTACAGGCCGAGCCAGTTCGCACGGCACGCCCACAGCCCACTACCCACAGCCCACACAATCCACTCGCTTGACCTCTTCAGACATATTTTCGCTTAGAAGACAAAAGACGAAAAAATTGAGTTTTATGTGGGAGTATTGGTACAGAGGTGGGTGTGTGTGTGTGTGAATGTTTCTGTCTGTGTGTGTGTGTGTGTGTGCTGGTTGCTAAAGTTTTTGGCGAACGTGCTCACCGTTCAGCTATCTGTGGCTCGGCTTTGGTCAGCTCTTATGGATTATGAAAGATATATACACAGTTATTCCTTTGCCTCTCATAAAGAGCATGACTTATTTCTAAGCATAGCTTGTGTGGGCGTGGCAACAGCCCCAGAGCTGCTCTACTATGCCATTTCCTGATTGCTTGACGCATATTAGCTATGCGCAAGCCAGTCCAAAAATAGCACGAGGAGCCAAAATGAGCTGCAAAAGAAGGAATTGAGCACATTTTCAAAGAGAAAGCTGATTGACTTTAAAGTGTCTTAAAATCAAATAAATTTTGATGAATTCAATACTCCAAATGGTGCTCTCGGCCGAGATGAGCTGTGGGAGCAGTTGCAATTTCTTCCTCCAAATATTTGCAAGTTGTTTTTGTAAGTAACACAATGAAAGTAAGACAGATATATATACATATATGTATATATATTTATATAAATACATATACATAAATGGAGCGAAGCAACAAATTCTCGACATGATGACAGACTGACAAGCAGACAGACAAACCGACGGACAACAACATGGCAGGCGAGTGTGTGTATGTGCGTGTGTGTGTGTGTGCTCGACTCCTTTGCCAGAACTCAATGTCTCGACTTCAAATGCGGACAGTTGCACGTGCCAGCGGAATGGACATAGACATAGACACAGACACAGACATGGGCCATGTCAGAGAATAAAGTTTGTGCAAAATGTTTGTATGCCATATAGCGTACAACAAGAATGGACCAGCCCCCCTCCCTTCCCCACTGCCTACATATGCTTGTGTATGTAGATGTGCCTATATAGTTGACCAAGATACGCATCTCGCAACAGCAGCAGCCGCCAGTGGAGATGGAGTTTGGCAGCCTATGGGGTTTGGGGCATAAAAACATTAATTCAGTCGAAGGTCGAACAACTACTACATCCACACTCGCACACACACACACACACACGCTCAGCATGTAGCTCGTTATAAGCCAGTGCAGGGTTGAGAATTGTCAGAGAGAGAGAGAGAGAGAGATAGACGGGAGGAAGGTTAGATGGGGCTTTGGGTCGTCAACGCTCTCTCACACCAATAACATAAAAATTTGTTGTTGTAAATCTGCTCAGCACTTTGTGCGTGAGAGTAGCACAGTTTAATAGCAGAGCACACACACACACACACACACACACACTTAAATACGGCGGCATACACGTAATCTGTTGTGTAATGTCTTTAGTTGTGTCAACTGTGCTACATGTTGTGCCCCAGCAAGAGCAACAGCAACAACGGCAACAACAACAGCCAGAGCCACAATGATGGCAAATCAAGCGTTAGGGTGCGCGGGGAGCAGGCATTGTCCGATGTGCGCTGTCTGCAGAGGCAAAAACAGATTCAGAGTGAGTGCGAAAACTGGCAGCATGCAGAGTGCTCCACGCTCTTTCTCAGCCAAGTTGAAGTTTTGAAACAACATTTAGATAAATTTCCCCCGAGAGTTGCCCAACGCGTTGCGTCGCAGCAGAAAAGTACATTGCTAAAAGAATCATGTAGCAACAACAATGGGAAATTGCAGCTGAAAATGTAAAGCGAAACTATCTGAAAGCGAACTGTATATAATGTTTCAAAAATGGCTAACAAACTTTAACTGAAGCAGAATTCATTCACCGAATTTGAATTGCAACTTTTAGTTTTCCTGAACAATTTAATCAATATAACTACACTTTTATTAAAACAAGTCGGAGCAACAATTCATAATTCAAGCAGGACTTTAATGAATGTAATTAATTTTGCTGAAGAGTGAAAGACTTCAGCATAATGAAGCACTACTAAATACAAGGCATGGCAAATAGTTCTTGATTGCACATTATATTAAGTACATATAAATACTGGCATGTGCGTAATTAATTAAGAACTTATTTGATATGAAGAAGTAGTTAAGGTTTCCACTCAAATATCTTATAGACATAGACAATTAAATGCAATAATAAATAAATAATAATAATAAGACGAATAAAGAGCTAAATTAGTTATAACCAATTTTTTATATAATTTTAATATTTTTATATAATTTTTATTATATTTTTAATTTATTTGTTTATTTATAATGTAAATAATAAAAATAAAATAAATTTTAAATATAATGTAACAAATAAAAATAAATTAAAAATAGAATAAAAATTATATAAAAATATTAAAATTATATATAAATATATATATATAGATATATGTATACATATCTCATTCTCTCGTTCTCGTTGTCATTTGTAAACCGCTTAAATTCCAATCGAAAATTTGACACTCGCTTTACCCATTATTGCTTAATTATGCTGAAACCAAGTTGAAGTCAGGGCAAGTCCGGGCATGTTGGAGCTCGCATGTTGTTTGCTTTAATTGCACATGCCGCATTACCTCAGCTACTCCTTTTCATCGGCAGCCTCTCCTCAATAGTTGAAGGTCGTGAAATGGCTGGAAATGTTTGACTTTGTTCACTTGGAATAAGTAAGAGCTGCTCAATTTAGTTGCTCGACTGTGTACTTGGTGGTTTCGCCATTAAGCTATTATGGGTGGGGGCTGGCGCAGTGGAGTGGGTCATGTGGTTGCCATTTCGTTGCTGGTTGTGATGGTATTTTCTACTGGCAGGCAAGTCCGACGGGGGGACGAATAGAAAACACTACACAACCGAATTGAGTAACATTTGTGGCATAGCTGTTGCGAAAACTTTAGCACAAATTTCATCGAGCTAAATGTCAAGTCATTAATATTCAAGCCATAAAAGCTCCACCACATCCACACAGACACAAGCACAGACTCACCCACACACACGCACACACACCCATGCACACGTATTTATACACTTATTCCAGGAATTCAAAAACTCTGTTTCAACAACGACAGCTCAATGTGGCCTCGACTGGCAAATAATATTTAATTAGAGAATTGTTTAGACAAACTTTTTAATTACGTTCATCGTTGTGTGTATGTGTGTGCATGTGTGTGTGTGTGTATGTGTGTGAGTTATTAAGCGACCCGCATAAATCTTCAGATGTGTCTGGGGCCTCAAATTTTCGTGAAAAATGCACGCTCCACTGGTCGCTCGACTCTCGTGCAACGCCCCCTTGTCTGCGCCGCCCACCGAACGGGATGCACGCTGCCAGCAGCGAGGATCTGCCACGCCACGCCCCGTCACGCACCGCCTCTTCATGCCGCCCTTTTGGCTCTCTGTGCTGGCTGACAGCCGGGACGAGCTGTGACCGTCAGCTGCATAAATTTCAAGCGACAGCAACATTAAAGTCAACATTTTGCCAGTGGCCTACATTTGCGAGGGGTCTGCAAGTGGCGGAGTGGGGGGTACTTCGCCAGGGAACTGGGCGCTGATACTGGAAAATGTGGATGGTACAGCTCCTGTTGCTGCGAATGTCCTTTTAGCATGACTGCCTCCGCCTTTCGCTTTCGCTGACATGTTGCTGCACACACAGACACTACTTATGGCATGTGTGTGTGTGTGTGTGTGTGTGTGCGTTTTTATGTAGATGAGTTTGCAGTAACGTGCGCAAAATTATGAAGATGAATTTCTGTGTGGCACTTTTTTCTTAGTCACATTTTTTTTTCCCATCGCAAATAATAAAATAAAATAAAATTGTAAGCCTCTGAGTAGCTCAAAGAGCATAATTCCCACTGCAGTCAACGAAACGGACGTTGCCTGAGCCATTGGACGACTTTAAGCTGCTCTTAACAGAATATGAAACTCCGAAGAAAAGAAAAAAATAAAATTCCACTTTGACAACGCGCAACTGAATCAAGTAATGAGATTCGAAACTTTTCAGAGCCCAATTATATCGTTAATTAACGTGAAAAATGTCGAGATTCATATGAACAGGTACCTTGAGAACGAATTGCGTATTAAATACTTGAAAATTAAATTGAATAATGAATAATTTTATTTGCATTTATAATATTAATTTCTCTGCCATGTCTTCAGGGCAGCTGTGCTAATTTGCTGTGAGGCCGCACTCTAAACTGTTTCAGGGTTAATTAGATAAGCGGCAATACAAATGGAGTGATGCATTTTAGTGATATGTGTTGTGGCGCTCAATACAAATTGCATTAGCTGCGGCATGTGGCAGGGCCAATTGGGATCACTAAGTCCGCAAATGGCGCAACTTGAGATAATTAATTGAGCGCAAAACTAAACACGAGAGCAGCAAAAGCAATTATCTACAATAATACTCAGACACACACACACGCACACAGACATGAGATTGTGCTGACCACACCCAACACACACACACACACACACAGACAGACGCCCATCAATAGAGCTAAGTAGAGTAAATCACTTGGCATTTAGCAGTCCAAAAATAAATCGATTCTCGACTACTATTAACGCTACATTAAAAACCCTGATTGGCCTTTGTTTCATTTCAGATAAATGCGTCAGCACACAAACAGACAGGCACGAGTCCAAGGGATACGAAATTGGCTCCCAAACCTGACAGATGTTGTTTTCCCAACAAGAATAACAACTCGGCCGAGCAGCTCAAGTGGAACCCAGCCGAACATGGCATTGGGCCAAGGCTTATTTACAAAGCAGCAAATGGAGTGTGTATGAAAATAGCAGAGACTAGAATAACAATAGCAACAGCAACAGCAACAGCAACAGCAATAGATCAAAACTGATAAACTAAAACAATAAACAAATAAATAATCGTATGCAAAAATTATCATCAGAGCTCCATAAAATTGACCATAAAATCAAAGCGACAACGACTGAGCCGTCCCATAAAAAAGCGTCGATTCTTCGGCTCCAGTTAGCAATTTATATTGCATATATACATATACATATATATATATATAACTGGAATAAGTTTTATTTGGCGAATTCCGTCAACGTGTGCACAAACCAGGTCCTTGCACATTGCGTATACGCCACGTGTTGCCAGCGTCAGCAGAAAATACAAACCGACAGTCAAAGTGAGAGAGAGAGAGAGAGAGAGAGAGAGAGAGCGAAAATAAAGTTTGATTTTATTTTTGGCTAGGTGCTAAATGCGTTTACATATCTCTGGCGCGGCAATTGCCGCCTCCGCCACCAGTGCAGCGAAATAGAAGTGAAAGTGCGAAGATTCGCATTATTTCTGCGTAGGCGAACATTATTCTCTGGCTAGGCGAGGCGAAGGGCGCAGTATGCTGCGCTTGTGGAAAAATCGATCCAAAATGCGAATAGACGCCGCTAGCATGAGCAGCAGCAACACCACCAACACCACTAGTACCACTACCACCACCACCACCACCACCACCAGGACCACTTTCACCAACAGCAGACAGCCACATCGCACCAAGCAGCTGGCACAGTTACTCATTGGCAGCATCCTCTGCATGACAATTGGTAAGTTTGCTTTAACTGTGAAGTGTATTTTAACCATAATGCGAAATTATAATTTAAAGGCATTTCAATGATTATTGCCCCGATTGCAAATACAATTTCAATCAGTTTATTTGCGCTTACTTAATTAGTGAATGCCGCTCCTCGAGCTAATTAACAAAGTGCCCAAAATGCTTGCGGGCTAATTAATCAAATTAAAAGCTTTTATTTTGCACTCAGATAACCCAAAAGTTTGCCTGACCTCAGCTTATACACTTATGATTAAGTATATTGCCGAAACTTGGCCAGTTGATGAAAAGCAAATAAGTAATTGCTTCATTTATATAAGATTTCCCTTCATTGTCTCGAGATGCTCGACATGAGCCAGACAATGCCAGTCGATGGAATGGATCTAGTCTAGAAATAGTTGGGCTGACAGGCCTGAGACAATGCTTATTACAAAGCTGAAGAGACAATAAGAAAGTCCCATGTAAAATAGGTCTTGCTTACAGTTGACAGGTAGAACGTGTATAAACTGTATTTAATTATTATATATATATTTTTTAATATATCACAATGAAATAATGGAGCACTTTAGCTGCAGCTCAACTGCAGACATGTGCGAGCTTGCACGCTCATGTCCACACATGTATGTCCCTGAGCATATATACTTAACATTTGAAATGATCGAGTGTCTGGCTGTTTTTTTCGAGCTCAGTCCTCAGGGGCTGGCACACATTTACAATTGCTGGCAGCGCAGTTCAATTGCAGTGCCGAGTTAAAAATATTAAATTAAATGAGAACAAATTGGATTAAGTGCGTAAAGTCGCCAATTAGATACCCTTTCATCCCACTTATTAAAATGCATAAACAATGTGAGAGAAATAAAATGCGCGGAATTCGCATTCAGATTTTCTATGCCGGTTACAACAGGATGAATTTCATTTAACTAACTCATATATGGGGTATTCAGGCTCTAATCCAATATCGCATGCAGGCTGCCAAATTGGTTTAACTCTTTGGCCAGAGCAAGTGTTGCCGCAGCTGGTTGCATAAATTGCGCCTGTTTTTTTTTTTTTTTTTTTTTGGTTTGACACGCATTTGTCCTGTGGGCTAACACGGGTATTTTTATTTTTATTTTTATTTTTTCCTTGGCATTTTTTATACAGCGCCTGCATTTGCCATGTGCTCGCATGCAAATAGTCACATTCAATCGTATGTGCACTTCATGTTGAAACGGTTAACTCACTTAGCCAAGAGGCTGCCGATTCCTCGCCTCCCGCCTCCTGCCTCCCACACGCCCGGCGGCTTAATCACGGCTCCATTCAGCACAAAATTGCTTTAACTTGGCCCTTTAATTGGCTTTACTTAGAGCTTTTCGCTGGAAAAGTGTTGACTGAAAATCTGGATTGCACAAAACAAAAAAACAGCAAAAAGAGGAAATTTATGCTTGCCCCATTGCTGTTATAAGAAGCTATTAGCGTACTTTTCCCTGTCGCCGCAGACCTAAAAAAAAAAAAAAAACACAGCAGAAGTGAAAGCAGAAAAAAAGGCAAAACATGAGAACATAATTCATGAGCTCCGGCCGAATGTTGAATTGTAAATGATCAAGCGAGAGACAGAGGACGGCTGGAAAAAAAAAAATGGGGAAGCAAAAGGCAACGCAAATGAGCAGACAAATATGACAGAGTGAGGGGAACAGGAAGAGAGAGAGAGAGAGAGGAGGAACAGAGCAGAGAAGCTTGGAGCCAAGTGATGGGCGGCCATAAAGAATTCTGTTGGATTTGTGTGTCATAGCGGGGCTTGCTGCGCGAGTCGGGGCAAAAACTTTACAGTTCAGCCCCCTCCATGCAGCCCCAATAACTAATAACTAGTACCTCAGCTTATATCGTGCTTATAAAATATCTTTATTGATTTTTCACCCTATGCTTTGCTGAGAGTTTTACAGCGAATTCCCAGCCCCGCAGCCTCATTGACTTTTGCCTTAGCTTTGCCTGGTTTGGCACTGGGCGTAAGATTGATTTATTTGCCATTGCGTTTCACAGAGGACGGGTCAGAGGGAAGGGGCAGGGGGTCTCCATTTTTTTTTTTTCTTTTAAACATTATTCATAACTTTTTCCAAGCGGTTGCGGCTTTGGTGTAATTTATTTCTGAAGCAGCTCCAAATAAATTGACCGAAATTTGTTAGCATTTAAAAATGATTTGCATGCCAGCCAGGCCGCCCCCTGCGATGACTCTGCCACCCACAAGCCCAGCCGATTGGCTCCCCATTCGACTGCAGCATTGGCCATTGAGTCTTGGTTGGGTCAAAAGGAAAACTAAGACTTTCGGCCACACTTAAGCACTGTAATGTGCGTGAGCAGCTACGTTACGTATACGCCACGCAGTCCGTCTATAAATTATGGCTATAAAAATAAAATCAACAGCGGCTTGCTTTGGTTCTTGGGCAGCTTTACATTGTTTTCATTTCGCTTTCCATTGCTTTATTTATTTTGTTGGGCGCATTTTACTTATGAGCTTTATTTTATTTTTGTCTTCATTTTTATTTATTTTTATTTATTTTTATTTTTATTTATTTTTTTTGCTTGATTGTGGGAAAACTTTTCACTTTCCTTTTTAGCTAGGGACATTATTTCTGTGCTTTCATTTCCGTCCGTTTTTGGTTTTATTGCAGTTTTCAGCTGTCGCAGTGGCTGTCTCTCGAATCCTTGCGCCCTGCTCCGGCTGCTGTTCCACTTTCCAATGCCATTCGCGCATTTCGCCTGTCGGTTTTTTTTTTCCGCCGAAATAAATATAAAAAATTCGCTTCCAGTTCCGTCTGCCATTTTCACGAATTTTCCTTCTGCAGCATAGAAAGAATTTTGTGACGCTGCCTTTTGCTACTTTGGCTTTTGTCGGCGCACTTTATCCATTCGCATTCGCGCGCAATTTTCCCACGACTCTCTCGCTCAAAAAAAAAAAAAAAAAAAACATAAAACAAAAAGGAAAGGAGCAGAAAACAAAAACAAAACAATGAAATGAAAAATTATAGCTGTCAACCCGCTACGCCGCTACCTCCGCCCGCTGCTGCTGCCTCCTGCTTTGTCAGTGTAAATGTGTTTTTGCCATCAATTTTTATTGCAAGCAGAGTGTATCAATAAATTTTACAGCAATGTGCGGATTTAAAAGCAAAACTGCATTGGCTTTCCGCTCCTCTACTCCCCTTCTCTCCTCACAGCACTTCCCAATCCCACCCGCACACACACAAGCTCTCTAGCCCGACCTCCTGTCAGCACCTTATGTGGCCATTGTGTTGCTTTATGACATTCGAAGTTGGGCATAAAATGCTCTTTCGAATTGCGGCTAAATTTGCGTTCAATGATGCCGACTCGGGCTGTGATTGTCATTTGGGTCTTTAAGAGGTTTACCGTATGCACCAATTAGTCGTAATTGGCCAATAAAAATGTATCTATCAACGATGAAAGGCGGCTTAGGCATTCCCTGAAACATATATACATATACATTTATTCGAGTGAATTTTTATACAAAGCTTGTCAATAGGGGAAAAGGTTTTGTAATTGGCTTCAGAAATTCCAGCAAAATATTTTACTGTTGGCATTGTAAAGCGGTATTTCCAAAATAGTTTGACTGGAATTCCATCGATGCCTTCATCGTTATTAAAGCGTTTTATAGTGCATAGACCAGCATATTCAACCACATAGATATATATCGATTTTTCTTCAAAATTTGCCAGCAGCTTTTAATATGTGTTGTCAGTGTTGGAAAAGGTCATAAAATAGCCATCATGTCTCAGCTTATCTGCTGAATTTATAGCACATGGGCAAAACAAAGCGATCATAAACAAAATCAATATGCTTTATATCAAAATTAATGGAGCTGCAATTTCACAAGTAGCACACACACACACACACACTGACACATATATGAACAGCAGCTGGGAAAAGTGTTGACAGCTGCTTTTATTCACCTGTCAGACACAGAAGCCGCTAAACTGTTGATAAGAGGAGGACTAAAGACAGAGGAGGACTAAAGGCAGCTGGGCGTCAGAGCGTTCGGACCAGCTCCGGCAGCTATGCATCCGTGTATCCCCCATTTGACGGGAATCTGGGAAAATGTTGGGTGTTGCGGCTGTCGAGGCAATCAACAGGGGACCAGACACAAGCGCTGTGACAGCCCAGCCAATAAAATTCCCTCACAATCATTTATCAATAAGTTTCAGAGCTGAGCGATAGAATTTACCCATCGCCCAGCCCCCCCGGCGAGCCCCAGGGCCGGCCAGCTAAAGTTGGAGCTGGACACAGCATTACATGATAACGTGCAAAAAGAATGGAAATATGAAACAATCATGTATAAGAGCTGCAGAAAATATTCCAAGTGCTTGCTCCGAGGACGGAAAACAAAAGGAAAAACATTAACATGAAGCCACAGCTCAACGATGTCCGGACATCGCTGGACTCTGTCAGGCCCTGTGTAAATGTCACAAAGTTCGAGCGATTATAAATGACGTCGGATGTCGCTTGACAGTGAAATATATATTTTTTGAAAAGCAGCAGCTGATAAAATGAATTGACACGAAATGCGACTGAGCTAGATAGAGCCAAGCCATGAGGTTGACTAACTGTTATTTTGCTACTATAGTATATGATTCTCTATCTCATTACAATATTCACTTTATTTAAACTTTTAATATATAGTATGGAATTTGGCTCTTTTTGTGTCCCTGTAGAATCATATGCCTTCCAAATATAGCGGCTCTACAAATTGAAAAACTGGCCAAAATGAAAATTCTGTGGCGGACAGAAAAAAATAAAAGTCTGTCAAGATTTTAATTAATTTTTATCTGCGCTGCTGCTATCTAGCTTTTGCCTTCTGACGGCTTTTTAGCATAAAGTGAAGTGAAAATGTAATTCAATTTTGGCGAGCGACACTCCAGAGGTGGGCCCAGGGGAAGGTGGGCGGGCTGAGCGCCAGTGATGGAGCAGAACAGTGCTGGGCAGGAGGAGGAGGAGGAGAAGTGCCCGCTG